CCCCCAAAGGAATGCCCTAGGGCTCATCTCCCAGGTGATTCTAGATTTGATTAAGTTGACTCAACTCTCAGACCCAGGATATATTTGTCAGTAACACTTTAACATGTGACTTTGAACAGTCCAGGAGGCTGCTGTGCAGGGTGTAGCGGTGACTCAGCTTTCGCTGCTGGGATGTGGAGGTAAGAGTGGCACCTTGACCTGCCACAGGCGAGCCCTGCCACTTCCTTACAGAGGAACCCACCTTCTATCAATTACCGTTCTCCTCTCTGTGATAAAATACCTGAACAAGCAGCTTAAGGGAGGAAGGCTTATTCTGACTTAGAGGGTACAGCTGTAACACTACAGGGAGACATGGTGTCGGATGTGGCTCAGCTGCAATGCCTCATCTCCTCACCTCTTTGCAGAGCAAGCAGCCAGCAGCTGGAAATGCTGGTTCTCCACTGGCTTTCTTTTCAGCCTGGGACTCCAGCCCATGGCACGGCACTATGCACACTCAGGCAGGTCTTCCCCCACTCGGTCAATTCTCTCTGTAAACAGCCTCACAGACAAACCCACAAATGTACCTCACAATCCTGTTGTACTGAAAATGGAAATTAATCAAACACACGTGTACTGGTTAAGGGACTTGATGCCACCTGAATCGCAGGTGTCAGGTTTCCCAGCTCTTCTGGACTTCGTCTGGTGCCATAGGGACTGATGTGGCAGCAGAACAGGGTGGAGAAAGAGGCATCAAGATGAGCATATGAGAAAAGCCAGTTGTCAGAGAAAGACTGGAAACCCCTCCAGGTGATATGCAAGAGAACAGACTGAAAGGGATTCCAAAGTTTGGCACATTCCAGGGCCCTTCTGAAGACCCTGACCTAGGCTATCAAGGGTTCTGAGCCTCTGTAGGTATGCAGAGGGGGTGCCTGGTCTGTCTGTTTTGGTCCCTTGGAACACAGACTGAGGGGTCTTCTTGGGATACCTTACACAGCACCCAGCCACTATCTTCTACTTTGCATTTACTCATTTACCACCCAATTTGTGAGAAAACCATGAGCATCGCATGACAGAGCCAAGCTTGAAGACTGAGGGTCTTCAGGTTCCTCCCATTGTAAGTGCCTAGCCCCAGTCCAGTGAAGCTGGGCTGGCGGCCTCAGAGCACCTGGGCCAGGAGGAGCAGTGAGAACCAAAGGGCACCCAGGATGCCTGCTCACCTCAGGCTTCCTGAATGCAGGTGCATCCCACCTGCTCTGGGTTGTGTCATGAAAAAGCCAAGGTCCCAGCGGTCAGCAGAGCTTGGCAGAGCAGAGGCAGGACACTGGCCTAGGCACCAGTGCATCCCATGTCCCTCATTCCCTACCTTGGTGAGGGTGAGGCCTAGTGCAATTAATGCATGGCTACTCTGACCACAGGTGGCCCAAAGCTGGCGATGCCTGCTCGGGTCTTGAGTCTGCAGAGGTTGAAGGACAGCACCTGGAGTTTACCAGACAAAAGGCTTCTGGCAGGTGGGGAGCCTCTGGAGGCACTCATTGGGTGAAGCCCTGCTCAGTCTCCCAGGCATAGAATGTGTGCTCACTTCACTTTACAGGGCAGCGAGTATACGTTTGGGCTGGAGGACACTCAGCTCTGCAAGGTGGCCCTGGGTTCGCCTGTATCCCATCCACAGACACACAGGTGCAGTCAAGTTGGTGCCTCTCCTGCCACACAGATGGCCAGAAGCCGAGCAGCCAAATGAACTTTACAGAAGAAGCACAGGTCATCAACACATGGAGGCTTGATGGTCACTAAGCATCATCTGCAGAATGGCATCTGCTGAAGTCACTAATTCTGATTTTGTGGCCCCTTTTGGCTCCTTGGAGATCTACTCTGAAGGCTCTGGTAAGAGCGGAGATACAGAAACACAGCAAGGACCTTGAAGCCTCATGTTCTGTGTCTGAGGCATCAGCATCCAGCCACATAGGGCAGCACAGCCAGGCTGGTGGGGACTTACTGGCCAGGAGAGGGGGTGACAGAGGGTGAAGAACCTACCTGGGCAAACATCCAGGGGCTTTCTCTTTTTCACTTAGCACCCAGGATCTGCTTAGGCTGGGAGCAGGGGGGAAGGCAGAGAGGTAACTGCCTGATAGTGAGGTTGGGGTTGGGAGTTTGATGGACAGGGACGAAAGAAGGTAAATGGCACAAGACTGGCCCTGGGTGTGTTAGGAGGGCCTGGTAGGGAAGGCTTGTTAATGGGGACTCTGGTGACAAGGTTCTTGCACTGGGTGGTCCCCACATGTCCCAGCAGGAGTGTGGCCTCACAGGCAGCAGAGAGCCCCAAAGGTTTAAGGATAGAAGGGAAGTGTATTTCCTACCCTGTAGGCTACCTTACTTCCTCTTCTGCAAGGCAGAGGGCTTCTGATTCCCATTAGTACCACAGTGACCCCAAACAGACACACATGCTCAGAGTTTTAAGATTTTTATTTTATGACTGTTTTGCCTGCATGTATGTGTGCGTGCATCACATGCATGCCTGCTGTCCATGGAGGCCAGAAGAGGGCATCAGATTCTCTGAAGCTGAGTTACAGATGGCTGTCCCACGGTGTGTGTACATGTCAACATGAGCCTGTATGTGGCCATGGGTGTGCTAGGAACTGAACGCTGTTCTTCTATAAGGGCAGCAAGTGCTCTTAATCACTGAGCCATGTCTCCAGACCCACGCTGAGATTTCTCCTATGGCTTGTTAGCAAAGTGTGTGTGTGGGACTTACATGATGTCTCATGTTTATAAGTAAACAAGTGGATCTTTCCATTGTGAGTGGATAGAAATCTACAGAAAAGCCCAGTGTGATTATGACTTCCTTTTGAAATAAAACTTAAAACCAGAAGCAAACAAACTTCACGGAGATGTTTGATCTGGTTTAATTCACAATTTAATTTTTCAAAGCAGGTTACTGGGCTATCAGTTAAACATTAGTGTTGGAGAATGACATGTTTAATGTACTTACTATATTTAATAATTTAAAATAAACTCCAGTACTTATGACGATGACAGCTACAGATAACCATTCACGTTAACTACATCTTTGATTCTCTCTTATTACATACATTACACAGTGGATGAACATTCTAAATGGTAATGCAGACACACATGATTTTAAGTCAGAGACAATATATGCATATTAAAATTCTGTATGTCTTGATAAGGTAAAAAATAAAGCTATATAAATTGATATTTAGACATTTTTATGCAAAATTAGAATCACACTTTCATAATACTTCCAACATATCTTCATTAAAGCTTTGTTTAGACACAGTATCAGAACCATTTGTTTCCATTCACCTGTCTTCTAGCTTTAAAAACAAGATTGCATTCGCCAAGTGATGTTTTTCATGTTTTTTACAGTTGCAAATGGGTAACTTCCAAAAGAAATGTAGAATGCAAGGACCTGATGTTCTATGGCATTGCCAATAAATTACATTGATGAAATAAGTGAATGGGTTATTTCAGTACCAGTGCAGAACACCTTGAATTTGGGGTTCAGAGACCCAGGCTGGAGCTTTCTCCAGACCATCTAACAGCTGGTTGATGCTCAGGGACTTGGGTGACAGCACTTGGGTGACCTGAGACACTCTGCAGCTGACCCTGGAAATGCACCAGCAAGCATGTTAAAAGTATTCTGTTCCTGCTCTGCCTGCTGGCTGCATCATCCCCTCTTCCTATCTCTGCCTCCAGTCTTCTCTTTCCAGGTGCTCCCTAGGTGGGGCCTTTGGTCTGCCTGTACTCAGGAATGGACAACTGGGATTTGGGGAAAAGGGTTTTTTTTTTTTTATCCATTTTTTCCCCCCTAGTTAGCATGTGGCAGGAGGCTGGCTCCTGTATGAGGTCAAACCGAGGGAACAAGGGGAGGTCCTGGCTGGGAGGTACGCTTCCCTGGGAGGGGAGAGCTCAGTCCAGTGCTGCAACATCACTCACAGAGCCCACATGAGAGTGCAGTCCAAGCACCCTTTTCA